GGGAGGAGGCCCTCGGCCGCGCCAGCGGGAGCCGCGGGGAGCGCCCTGAGGAGCTGGGCGCGGGGGAGGGGGCGGCAGAATGAAAATCGGCATGTGGGGTGGCGATCCCCGTCCCCACACTCTTGTGTAAGTTGGACCAGTTATAAAACACCAACAATTTTCCTGGAAATTTTTTTTTTAAATAGGGTCTATGAATTTCAAATGAAAGTCTGCTTATCAACTTTTTTCTTATTTTTTAAAAAATCGTATTTTTTAAAAAGAAATTTTTACTGACACAGGTTTTTAATTAATAAAATTTGATTTTTTCATGAAGAATCTATAACTTTCTCCCCAGAATGAAAACTTACTGCAATGAAAAATTTTTTGGTGAATAGCCTATTTTTCAAAGAAAAAAATATTCAACGTTTTTTTACCATCTCTATTTATAAAGGGGACTACTGTTACTTTAAGCCTGATTTTTACATTCATCTCTTCTTTTAAGACCTCGCAATTTTCTTTTTTATATTATTAGAAAAGTCATTGCTTTAACATTTCAAAATACTACCTAAAAGAGAAACTGATGTTGAAAGGTTTTCTGTTCCTGCTACTGCCTGATGACATCCAGTTTCTTTTTAGTGTTCATTTTAACCTACATTGTACAGAAGACATCTATTGTATTTATGGCCTCAAATAATGGAGGGACTTTCAGTGATCGCATGTGCGTTTATTTACTATACACTAGAGGGGAACCTATACACAGAGGAGGCAAAAAAAATCTCTTCAACATAAAGCAAGGAATTTTGTTAGCAAAGTCCATTGACAACCTAAAAATTAAATATGGCTAGAAACCAATTTAGCCAGGATATAGAAGGTTAAAATACACATACTATCCCCCCCCCCCCCAATTCTATTTTTAAAAAACACAAGTTGTATAAAGAGCACTGTAATGCATCAAAACTCAGACTTAAAAAATCCTAAACCGGTAACACTTTTTGGTGTTCAAGAAGTATCACTGTACAGTCACTCAGCTTTGTAGCACTCTTTTTTTGATGTTGAGTTTAAACAACATACATTTAAAGTATCCTCATCAAACTCTAGAAATTAGTGTGCAAAAATAAAAATACTACCCTTTGGAAGCAAAAAGCCCTGTGTCAGAACTCCTACCTCTCTTTTGTCTGGAGCTGGGACTGGAATTCCTGTTTTTGTTGTTAGATGCTTCCACGTTTGATGTCTCAGATTTGTTTTCATATATACTTGACGACTTCCTGCTATACCTTTGGACAAAAGAAATAC